AGATAGAAACACCATTCATCCACTGCCTCCTGCACGCCTCCTACTGGAGATTGAGCCTACAACCCGGGTATGTGCACTGACCAGGAATCAAATTATTGACCTCTTGATTCCTGGGTCGACCTTCAACCATTGAGCCATATCAGTTGGACTACATCAGTATTTTTAATGATCAAAATAAATACTAAAGTGGAAAGTCTTTATAATTTCCAAGGAACTGCTATGATCTATTAACAAATCCTGATCCTTTAGACGAGTGGTTCTCAACCTTCCTAATGCCACGACCCTTTAATACAGTTCCTCATGTTGTGGTGACCCCTAACCATAAAATTATTTTCGTTGCTACTTCATAATTGTAATTTTGCTACTGTTATGATGAATCATAATGTAAATATCTGATATACAGGATGTATTTTCATTGTTACAAATTGAATATAATTAAAGCATAGTGACTAATCACAGAAACAATATGTAATTATATATGTGTTTTCCGATGGTCTTAGGTGACCCCTGTGAAAGGGTCATTTAACCCCCAAAGGGGTTGCGACCCACAGGTTGAGAACCGCTGGTTTAGACATTTGGAATGCCATACATTAGATAACAAGTGATCTGAAGAACAGTTTACATTCTTTCATATAAAGCATTGCTGCTCAGAATTAGCATGTTACAAAAAACTCTTGTGAAATTTCAGTTGAAACATATTAGCAAATATATTTTTGAAGGAAAAAAAACACACACCTAGCCACTATAATGTAGAAAGTCCCTTTATGAATCCTAGATGAGGAAAACTCTGTCTTTGCATGGCTCATTCATCAGAGAAAGGGAAACTTATTAAATGAGTTACTAAAGCACTTTATTTATAAAGCAAAATGTGGTGAAATGTTGCCATTCTTTTAAAAGACAAATATATCCTATGACATAAACCTCTGAAGTTAAAATCTATACCTCCTAAAGTACATTTTAATTTAAAGCTATTTTAACTGATCATATAGTATTCCACTGAATGATCTCCCTAGTAAGTTTTCAGGTAGAGTTAATCTAGATAGAAAATACTGTCAAGCAGTTACAGTGTTATGAATTAAAAAGAAAAAAAAAAAAACCTAAGCACTGAAATGTTATCTACTTTTCTCCTCCTAACATGCCCTTTCTATATGAAACAGAGAAAGTACAAATGATGCTTACTATTATAAGTAGTATAGATTTTTATACATTTTAACATTTATATTTTAATGAATGGACTATTTTCTGAAAGGCAATTAAATTATCCCAGGAAAGATTTTTTTTAAAATAAAAAGGGTCATTGCATACAATTTTATGAAAAACAAAACACAAAAACCAAAACACACACATACAAACAAAACACACACGGACACACACACACACACACACACACACACACACACACCTACCTGTTGGCCCACTCCCCTGGCGCTGCCTTCCCAGGATGTGCACTGTTTGTTT